CTGGCGATTTGGGGCTTTTGAGTCTGGAGTTGGGCAACCTTCGAACCTCCTACGAGCTTCTCTGGCAGCTCCAAGACCTTAGGATAACTGTCGGTCTCTCACTGGTAAGATGCAAACTAAGGGCCCCAGTGGTTCTGTCTTATTTTTAGCTGTGGTACACTTTGTTCAGTGCAGCCCGATGGGTAAAACAGATGTGACAGGGCAAGTGTTCGAGAAATTCATTGGTGTCTGGCTTCTTTGATGGCTGAGGACACTTCCGTAAAAGAAAAGAGAGATTTGTCCCCTTTCCTGCCCCAAAAGGATGGGTGGCCGGGCTTTCAGTTCCAAGGTGGAGCAAGACAGAAGTTGTTTATTTCTGAGCTTTGAGGAGGGGTATGGAGTAGCCCTGAGTTTGAACAGGGTTGATTTTTCAGGTTCCTGGAGTGGAGGATGCCCAGCCTCTGTTCCCACAAACAGCCACATGGATAGGGATAGTGACTACAGGTACCAGGATAGAGAAGAACTCCTCTCAATTTTATGGAAGGGATTGGGAGAAAGTCCTCTCATGTTGTAGGTTGGGCTTGTTGGACACTTCTGTGATAGATCTTAGGGCTGGATCTGTGTTGATTTTTTTTAATTTAATGTTTTAAACATTAAAAAAAGAAAAAATATTTTGAGATTGTGGTTGACCTCAGGTAACAAAAACCACAGAAAGTGAAACTGCAGGTAAGGGTTTCCTCTAATAGAGAAACATGGAGATATGGAATTAAATGTATCTTCCCTGCACAGCCTCGCTTCATTCAGCCAAAGCTTGGCTGCCCCAGCTAAGCCCTCAATACACAATGACCTCTGGGAGATTTGCTGTCGTGGGGACATAACACAGTCTATACCCACAGCAATGCCATGAGACTGTGATGCAGGCGTGTACAAGCTCCAGACCCTCTTGCAGAAAGGGGTATGGGTGATGCCTAGGAAAGCATCTCAGAGGAGGTGATGTTTCAACCAATTTGCTAAGTATCCAAAGGTATTTGTGGGCAGGGAGATGTGGTATGAATGGTGCTTGGCAAGAGACAAGGCAGAGTCTGTACTAAAAATATCCTTTTACTCTGTTAAGGGGTCTGAACTTTATCCTAAAGACAGTGAGGAATCATTCAGGAGTTGAGTCACATGATACTAAATACACTGCAGGAAAATTATTCTGACCATTGTGTCAGTAACCAATGAGAAGAACCAAGGCTGAATACAGAGAGATGATTAAGAGGCTGGCAATACTTGAGGCAAGAGATATTATGGCCAGGCCAGCCTAGTGGTCTGGTGGTTAAGGGATCCAGATCCCACATGGCCAGTCGCAGTTCAAATCCTGGCCCTGGCATTTTGGAAAACATGCCAGGCACATGTGTATGCATGCCCCAAATCCCAACAGGATGGAGAAATGGAGGAGAAAGAACTGCAGCATGTTCATACCCCATTGGGGGATACTTTCTCCTTCTGCTTCTCTCTTCCACTCTCTCTCTCTCTCTCTGTCTCTCTCTCTGTCTCTCTGTCTCTGGTAAGTGCACACACCTTCTGGCAGTTAAAAAATAAATAAAAGAAAGAAAGTGCAGGGGCCTGAAAAATAGCAGTGCCTGTGAGGGTGGCACAAAGCTAGACTGTTCAAGAGCATTTAAAATAGATTCAATGGGCTGTGGTGACCAAATATGGGACGTGCATTAGCAAGATATACTAGCCAGGGCACACCCATAGGAAACAGGCACACTCAAAGGGCTCACTTTATGAGAATTTAACAAAAGAACCATTTACAAAGGTGTGGCAAGAGTAAAGGGAGCCAGGAAGGTAAGGGAGGCAACCAGCTAGCAACTGCAGTAAGCCACCATCGCCCATAGACATGCAGAGTGTGGAGAGCACCCAGAAGGAGCTGAACCCTGGCTATGCAGAGCATAGATTCCTTCTGCATTCATTCCACCCTCTTGATGATGTTTCTTATGGGCTAGACAAGAAAACAGAGGTCAGTCTTTCTGGACACAGAGCTGGACAAAGAGTGGAGAAGGGAAGTGGGAGAAATGCAGCAAAATTAGTACAATGGGATCTCCTTTCATTTCAAGTAAAAAAAGCAAGAAAACCACCCACAAGTCCACCCTCCTGATGATGTTTCTTATGGGAAACAGAGGTCAGTCTTTCTGGACACAGAGCTGGACAAAGAGTGGAGAAGGGAAGTGGGAGAAATGCAGCAAAATTAGTACAATGGGATCTCCTTTCATTTCAAGTAAAAAAAGCAAGAAAACCACCCACAAGGTTTAGGCCAAAAATAAAAATGAGAGAAAGGGAGCATGCATGGTTCACTAACTCATAACTGCAAAGAGCGTGTGGATCCAAAGCTAAACACCACCATTATATATCTCCTTATCAACTTCTTTCTTCTCCCTCAACACCAGCTATGTTCTCTAGACCCCTCCACATGCAAAGTATAGCTACCAGCACCTCTTGGGTTAACAAACTGAGAGCTTGCATTCCTGGAGAAGAGCAGGGACGCTTCCCTCTCCAATTCAGAAGATCAAGGGTTGGATTGCCTGGCATGGGTCATGTGCAGTGCATGCTGGAGTGGACCTTCACTAGCTCCCAACTCAGCACAGCTTAGTGCTTGACCTTGGCCATGGTGAAAGCACTTACATCCTGGAAGTCAGCCAATGCTACAGAGCAGGGCTCCTCGTAATGCTATTGTTAAATAGCTACCTGCCCAACACTGACTCATGGGCCTCCACAGCATGTTGGGAAATGCCGTGCCGTGAAGGTTCCAGCCATGTCCTCCACCAGCCTGCCCTGAGCAGCACCCTTAGAGACTCATGATGTAGAGCAGGGTCTCTAGAGAAGGGGCTGGAACTGTTAGCACAAGTGGGGAAGAGACGCTGACCTGAAAAGGCAAACCTCAAAGCCTCCTGCAGGGGATGAGGGAGAGGGAAACCTCAGATCATGCCCCAGGTCTTGGGCAGCTAGGTGGATGGTGAAATGGTGAGCACAGGTCTGGAGGGAAATAACAGAAGCACTATTCTAAGGGCTTTTTGTTTAAGAAACGTGGTCCTCACAGCAAACCTGTGCAGTAGGTAAAACGAAGAAGCTGAGGCATGGGTGAAATAACCAGTTCAAGGTGACACAGCTAGTCCTAAGAGAGTTTGGGATAAAGACAAACCTAAATGCTTTTTCATGAAAATGCCCATGCTGTTAAAAACTACACTAAAATGTTCTTCTGCAACTGCACAACCTACCACAGTCGCCACTAGGTATGCTAGCTATTTAAACAAAAAATAATTGATATTAAACAAAATTTTTAAATGTAGTGCCTCAGTCACACTCAAGTGCTCCATAACCACGTGTCACTGGCGGCTGTTGCCCTGGACAGATAGGCTGCATTTCAGTCATCACAGAAGTGTTATTAGACAGTGGTGCCCGGAAAAGATTGTCAGAAAGAAAGAAGCCATACTCATTCGTTTGGAAACAGAGGGTTTAATGTTGACTGCAGTAACATAAAATCTCAAAACACAGTTTGTGTCTCCTTTGCTCTGAGATGAGCAAATGGATTCATTTGTTCCTTCATTCATTCACTCATTTATGCAATGCACACTTACTGAGCACCTACCATGTTCCAGGACCTGTGCTAGGTTCTGGGGATAGAACGATGAGAAAGGGACACAGCTCCTGTCCTCTGGGAGCTCACAGTCTGATGGAGGAGATGTCCTTAGGTGGTGTTCTGAAGAGGAGCAGGTGTGGGGCAGGGGAAAGAGGAAGAGTTTCATTTTGGACAAACGCTGAGTTTGATGTAGAACATCCCAGAGGGATGTGGGGCTGGGACTCAAGTGCAAGGTCAGGGAATACAAAGTTGTGATTCATCAGCCTCAAGGTGGTCATTAAGTGAAGCACCTGACTAAGTTCATGCAGGGGTGTGCAGACTGAGTTGAGAATGAACCAACTCCAAATAATGCCAACATGTCAGCAGCAGGCGGGGGAGCAGGGCCAGTGAAGGAGCCCCAGAAGCTGCTCCAGAGAATTATCACAAGAAAGTGGAGTCACAGAGATCAAGGGCGGGGACTATCAGCTGATGCAGCAAGGCCAAATTATCTAAGGACTAAAAAGTATCCTCTAGAATTGATCTTGGACCGAGTCATTTTGGTGGAAGAGCAAGAGTAGGAGCCAGTCTGCAATGGGTTCCAGAAGAAACAGAAAGTGAAGAGAATAACTACAACTGAAAACAAAAATAACACTCAACTATGAAGCTTGATCCAAGGGTCCCCAGCACATTTATTGACTGCGTTAATGAAGACGAGTGGGTGGAGAAATATCAACGATCCAAGATGGAAAAGGAATACCAGATGGAGCAAGATCTCAAAGGCATGAGGGGGAGGAGCCCAGAGCACAGAGTGCAGCTTTGAAGGGAGAGAAAGTCCCATTCCACTGGTCTGAGAGGGAAGGAGGAGCAGGGAGTTTAGACACAGAGTACAACTCACTGAAGAAAATTAATTTTAGGAATATGGAATAGTTTAAAAGATCATAAATGTGGAAGAATGACCAGTGGTTTGGAAAATAGATGATAATGACAAAAAGGGAAGAAGATTTGGGGGAAAGTTTTGCCTGAGGGTAGGGGAGGGATCATCTGAATGTGTCTGTTGGATCCCAGGTAGGACATCAGTGCCCTCCCTAAGCCTGTGGTGTGAGTGCCTGAAAGAATGTGTCAATCTTCCTGTAAAACTTTCCAGGGGATAGAGTATCCTCAAAGACGAGCCAAATGGAGAACCAACAGTTAGTGTAATGGCTATGTCACTGGACTCCCACGTGGTCGACCGCGGTTCACGTCCTGGACCCGGTGGCTTAAAACTCATGCCAGGTGCATGTGCGTGCGTGCCCAAGATCCCAGGAGGAGAATGGAGGAGAAGGGATTGTGGCGTGACCATCTCCCCTGGGGGCTGATGTCTTGCTTTCTGTCTCTATGTCTCTCTCTGTCTGTCTGGCGAGCGCACGTGCCCTATTTGTCCTGAACGAGTATTCTGCAAAGAAGTGGCCGATTTACAGAGTTTCCAGCCACTTAACAGGGTTCAGAGGAAAGCAATAGGCTATCCCCAGGATAGAAGAAGGGAGATAAAAGAGCTAAGATTTTAGGAAATTATGCCAAATCACTTGACTTTCAGAAGTTAGTAGAATCCTGGAGTCTACAGTAGCCCCGGGTGTGGAGAACCCTTGGTGATGCCCTCAACTAGAGACCTTTGTTCCAGGATCTTCCAAAACCTTGGTGAGAAGTTTGTAGTCTCAGAAGATAACACACCAATCTTGGGATTGATTGATTCCCGAGACACTCGCTTCTCAGATGGACACACAACAGCCTTCTAGGAAATGAGAAATTGGAAACTCTGAAGAAAACCTAACCCAGGAGTATGAGTCCAGATTAGAATGTTCCTTCTGGTGGTAAAAAGCAGAAGCCCTCAGGGCATGGGCAGAGAAAGAAATTAAGCCAGAGATATAATAATCATTCAATACTAAGACTGGTGATTCATTGGGGCCAATGATAAAGTCTAAGCTGGTAAAGGCCACCCGGGCATATGTTACCAGATAAAACTAACAAAGGCCCACTCTTCTGGGCCTGTGGTCATCAGGCATGTGTGTTTCCAAGTTTCTCTCTTGTCTTCACCTGGAAAGACTTCAATCCTACTAGGCTAATGGCCAGGAAAATCTCAGATATCCCCCACATGGTAGAGCTTGGCAATGAGGTAGAGACTTCCCTCTCTTCCCTCTCTAGAAATATTTCCAGAATTATACTTAGAACCCAGACTTTAAATTGAGACATTAGGTATTGGGCAAGGCCCCCACTTCTTTCTGAATATGCACCATCCCTAAGAGATTTCACTTCTAAATAGCCCAAACATAGCCTCTTCTTCATAACTTCACACTAACCTGAAGAAACTGGGCATTACCCAACTTGGCCAAATCCTGAATATTCCAGACCCTGAGTAAGAGGCACCTGCACAGGCGAGCAAGACTCCAGGCACCTGCCACCCTCAGCTCAGATGTCATCCTCTCCACGACACTCCCAGCGCACACACATGTACAGGCACACACACACACGAGACACATGCCCCCCACACCCTCTGTCCATACAGTTTACCACAGCATTTACTGTTACACTGTGCCTGTTTACCTTTGCTTCCCCACCAACTACATTTGGAGCTTCTTTATGGGGTGCTAGGGCTTTGCGCCCAATAAAAACATTTGCAAGAGGAGTTGGCCTGAGCTGGGATAGAGTTGAGTTGAAATTAGTTGATTCGCATCCGAAGGACACTGGGGAACACAGAGCAGAGCATTCCTACAGCAGCAGCAGTGAGGCAGGAGTTACCCTGACTTCCTCATCAAGGGTCTCCACAGAGATCCACCATCTCCAGAATTTCTCCCGAGTTCCCCAACACATAGCCCCTGCTCCACTGAGGGGATCCTCATTGCTTCTTATGGAACAGAGCTGGGGCCGGCTCGTTGCTGGGCTCGGCCATGACCTGCATGGGCTGGTTGTTCAGGGCAGCCTCCCGCATCTTGTAGTACATGAACTCGTTCTGGCGGAACATGCGCAGCTCCATCTCCGTCTGCACCCGCATGGCCTGTGGGACACAGATCCACTGTGAGCAGTGAGGACAAGCCTTCAGGATAGGGTCTCTGACCTACCCCAGAGTGAATGACCCCAGTCACCCAGATTCACCTCTAGCCCCTCGATGACAATTGACACACACACACACCCTCATCCATTGGGAGTCCAAGGTCTTCGCAAGGGACCCATTTTATTAAGGAGAGGGGATTAGACACGTGAGAATGTTTGTTCTCGTGTACCGTCAAGTGGAGACCTGGGTTTGAACTCTGGCTCCTGGATTTATTGGTTGTGGGATCTCACACAAATGACGTTACCACTTCAGCCCTCGGTAATCTCACCTGCGAAAAGGAGGATTCCTTTGCTCCTTACAGTACATTGGGAAGGTTAGGGTGTGACACAGAAAATCCTCATTCTTTCATATCTACACTCAAGAATACATAGCAAGGGGCAGACATTGTTCAGGGAACAATGGAAATGAGGAGAGGAAGGGAGACCTCCCCTCTCTGTAGGTTCTAGAAATATTTTTAGAATTACAATTAGAACCCAAATTTCAAAGAGTAGTGAGTAAGATCGACAAAGACTCTGCCTATGATGAGCTTGATACGCTAAACATAAAGTGAGTTACCTTCACTTCTTTTTGCCCCTCCCTTGGTCCACACATGCATTATTTTTTATAGGTTTTTACCTTCCTCTCCCCCATAGGGCACATGCACTCACCAGAGAGAGAGAGACTGAGAGACAGAGAGACAGACACAAAGACAGGGAAAGTGAGAAATCACACCCTGGAGGGATGGTCATGCTGCAAATCCTTCTCCTCTATTTTCTCGGGACTTTGGGCATGCACACACACACACACACACACACACACACACACACACACATCTGTCATGATTTTCAAGCTGCTGGGTCCAAAACTCAAATCACAGTTGGCCATGTGGAAGTCCAGCACTTTAACTACCATCCCACCTACTGCCCGCCCCCATCGGTTCTGAGGGACTAATATATTATTTCTGATTTACAGATGAAAAACTGGAGATCTGAGTGGTAAAAAGATGCTTATACCTGAGGTTACACTAGTCCTAAATGTCATAGTCATTCTATGATACATTTTATTACACCATAATCTGTCTGCTTTCCCTAGACTACACTGCCTTACAATCGCTCTGTCACTCTCAAATAAACCAGCAGCTATTAAGATCATGCTATATTTGCCAGGCACTGTTCCAAGTGTGTTCCACATATTAACTCACTGAACCATTACCACTGTCCTACACTTTTCCTCCCATTTTATTGATGAGGAGAATGAGGCCTGTATGTTTAATATTTATAAAAATAGCATAGCTGAAAAGATTTTGCAAGCTGCCACTCTGTGTAGCACAGAATACTTTCTAAAATAAATGGCTGCGTGCACACACACACCCACACGCACGGCACACACACTACCATTTAGCTTTTCTTGGTCTAGGCTTAGGTAGACTCAGAGTTCAGGTCTGAGTTTGCCATTAACAACACACAATTGACTATAGACAGATTTCTCTCCCTCTCTGGGCCTCGGTTTCTCCATACATAACACCATGAGAGTGGGCTATAGCATTTCTGAGTCCCCTTCTGAGTTAGCTGGCAACCTATGGACTTCCCTAAAGCAGAGTCCACCTGAACCCAAACTCTCACCTTCAGACCACACAAGGAGCATCCAGCTCCAAGGTGCTACTTGCCTCTAAGTCCTTGGTGATGGGATGGGAGGGTCCATGTGTCACAAGGAGAATGGCATAAGCCTTGCAGATCATCCCGTGCCCCACCTCAATGTTTCCAGCATGCCAGTTGGTCAACCCAGCTCGCATCACAGCCATGCCCAGCTGGGCATTGTTGGGGTGGTAGAGCTTCCTGTAGGGGCACGGCAAGTATTCACAACACATCGTTCCAACCATCCTTAAATTGAACATCATTGACAACCTTGAAAGTACCCTCCTTGATCAAATTCATCCACTCCTCCCGCTAGCACTGGGAGGCATCTATGACTTGCAGGGGAGACCAAAGCCCAGAAATCTGCCGACATTCCAGTGAGGCTCTGAGAGCTTGGATTCTGACCAGGACCTCTGAGCCAAGCGCTTGCGGGGAGAAGAGGCTAGGATGATATTCCAAACTTAAGCACAGGAAGCTGGGAACTCACAGGAACACCTCACCCCTCTCGCCCCCCACCTCCCCAGGAAAGTGATAGGAAGGCCAGGAAGAATAAATAACTTGAACGTCCTTCTCAGGATAGCATTGCATCTTCACCTCCCAGAACCCTCTCAACAGAGCTCTCTTTTGGCATGTCATAGAGTTTACCTGTATTTTGTTTATGAATGACCTTCTCTCAGATGGACTCTCCATCCTAACTTACTCATTTGACCAGAAGTCCAAAATCACATACCAACATGGACACAGAAGGTGAGAGAAGATATTGACAGAAAGCCAGTAGGGAGTTGCATTTTACCATTTATAAGCAAGGGTGATCAATGCCTCTTTTTTAAAATAAACAAAAGGCCCACAAAATTGCCTATGTTGATTGCTATGGAAAGGAAGGACCTTTTTAAGCACTTAAAGTTAATCTGGACTTTATTTTTGAAAAATCAAAAGCAGAAGACACCACACACATGACAGAT